TTTTTTTTTTTTTTTTTTTTTTGGTCGGGGCTCCGTGGAATTCATGTGGTTCGTGTCACTCGTGAGGAATAAAACCATTTGGACACTTTGGTTGTTATCCCGTTGTGCTCAGGTGATTTTTTCCAGAACTTTCCATGGCCTCAGGGCTCTTTTATCCCATTTTTATCCCATTTTTATCCCATTTTTATCCCATTTTCCCCCATTTTTTTTGGTCATTCCCAGCAGGAATTCTCCTCTTACGCGTTCCTACAGCACGAAAATAAGAATTATTTATTTATGTTTCTATTTTATTCCCCATTTCTCCTTCTCCAAATTGCCTTTAATTTCTCTCCAGCTGCTTTTTTTTGTAGCCTCACCAAAGGAATTTGAGGCTGGAAAAAAAAAAATATTCCAGAATTATCCAAAAATATGGAAAACATCGAGGTGTTTTCCTGCTGTTTTCAGCTCATTTTGTGCTCTTTCCTTTCCCTCACCCTCCTCATTTTTTCCTTTCATTTTTTTCGTTTTATTTTTTTTATTTTCCCACCTCTTTGGGTTGGTTTTTTGTTTTTTTTTTTTCCCAGCCCTGAATTCCAGGTGAGTTTTTCCAGGGAATTTCTCCCTCTCTGCCTGGAGCTGCTCCTCAATTCCAGAGGATTTGGCTGCCCTTGAAGTCCCAGCCTCCTTTTGGATTTTCCCAAAAATTCTCGGCTCCTCTGGGACCTGACAGCGAAAAAGAAAAAGAGGGAATTTTATGGAATTTTATGGAAACTTATGGAATTTTATGGAATTTCAGGTGGGCCCCAGCTCTCCCTGCAGCATCCCGCAGCTGCCATTGGTGCAGTTTGATCACAGAGCGGGAGGAGAACGAGTTGTGGGTGTGGCGGACGCTGTTCCATTCCCGGTTTTTTTGCCCATTCCCGGTTTTTTTGCCCATTCCCGATTTTTTTTCCCCCATTCCCTTTTTTTTTCCCGGTTCCCGGTGATCCCGTGCTGCCCCGGAACCCAGCGCTGCGGGACGCGTTTCCCGCGGACCTCAATCGCCGCTTCCGCCGGATTGGGCGTGGTCGCTTTGATTGACAGCTCCGTTGACCAATCAGAAATCTGCTTTTACGCCGCAGCCAATGGGAGGGCGCCGTGGGCGGGCGCGGCCGGGCCGGGCCGGGAGCGAGCGGGGCCGGCCGTGAGTGGAGGGGGGGGG